CATCAATAGCTGCTTCCCTTCTGTTTCCTGTAATTTCCTATGCTTCTTGGCTTTCCTATGAAAAAGTTATCATTTTGTAGAAATTGCCAGCTAATCAAAGCAGTCTTTTTTCTTCTTCATGGCAAACATCAGCTGTAATATTTAGATCACCAACTCTTAGTCATTTTACATGTTTTTAGGGGTTCCTTCTTCACTAATGCTTGGTTTTTGCTTATTTGTTTTTGTTTTAATGCTATTTCTGGCTGTTTCCCTCTTTTGGAAACCTAAGAGGTTTGAATACTGTTCTCTGGATAATAAAGATTTTGTGAAAGCAACATATAAAATATTTTTTTGTGATTTAAAAACAGACTAAAAATGTATCAGAACATCAGTGATGCTGGGTCCCCGAATTTTCAGAGGGTGACGGAGTGGGGTAGTCTGGGGTAGAGTGCGTGAGGCTAAAAAATGAACCTATATAGTCAGTGCAAACAAATGTCCAAAAATAATGTAAGTGGCTTTTAGATGGTTTCTAGGATCTGAATTTCCAAAACTGAAAAACTGGTTTTTCATAGTCTAAAACTTAAAATGTTTTATATCTTTTTTTCACTGAAATAAGAGTTCTTTTTAAACTTAAAATACCTGCATTTAATTTAACCTTAAATTTTAGGGATTAGGTTTGTCAGCATTAGGTCATATTTTATAGCTATTGATATAATTGGCATTGTGTGTGTTTAACCTATAATAATTAGCTTCAGTTCTGTTACCATGGGAGAAGGCCAAAACAGATGTTTGTGATATACTAGCAGACTCATAGTATATGAGAACCCTTTTAAAGTATGTGGAAGTAGTAGGTATATAAATAAAACTAAAAAAACTCACTGAAATAAAGTGCTCTGGGAAAATGTAAATGAATAGAATTGAAGCAAATAGAAGTAGAAAATATAAAGTGATTAATGATCATAATTATTTCCAAAATGTCTTTGTGTTCAGGCAGTTTTACTGCTGCATATTTTTTAACTTTCGAAAAGCAGATAAGCACAATATTATATAAACTACTTCAGAGCATTATCAAAGACAGTTTGCCATCCAATTCATTTTGAGAAGATAGAATAATCCTGATGCTCAAGCTGGAAAAATATAATATAGCAAGGAATGTCTTAAATCTGTCTATATTTAGAATATAAAATCCTGAATAAAAGATTCACAAATATAATTTATTAGCGTATTAAAAGGATCACCCATGATATTCCAACTTATCTCAGAAACACAATGGTGGTTTAAGTTTAAGAAAACTATCAGTATATGATTACTTATGCTTCCAAAAGAAAAACCATATAACACCAATCAAATATGAAAAGTCAGAAACATTATTTTTTTATTCCTTATTTCTTTGAAAATTATTTTTAGAATACTAGGCATAGAAAGACTTCTTAGTATGATTAAGAATATACCTTCAGACAACAGCTAAAATATTTAACTGTGCTTTGCATTAAAATTGTGAAGGTACCTATCATTTTATTTTTATTTATTTTTTTACTTTATTAAAAAATTTTATTACAGTTTACATTTAGTATTATTTTGTATTAATTTCAGGTGTACAGCAGAGTGGTTAGACAATAATATACTTTACAAAGTGTTCCCCATAATATTTCCAGTACCCAACTGGCACCATACATAATTATTACAATATTATTGACTATATTTTCTATGCTGTACTTTACATTCCTATCACTGCTTTCTAACGACCAATCCCTAACCTTTATGACCCAGTGATTCCACTTCTCAGTATAGGAGGGGGGACCCCCTAAAAAAACAGAGTTGTCTATCGGAGGGTGGGTCCCTGCTTCCCCCGCTTGGTGAGTGTTCTAGGAACCCATCTGTGTCAGTGTACCAGCTGGTGTTGTTGTGACAGGCTATGTTCGGCTCCACTGAATTTTTTTTGAATACTCTTTCAACACTTTTACCCATTTCACGATGGGTGATTTACAAGCACACCTGCCCACACTGTGCAGAGTATTGAGCAGTTTTGAGCAAAAACGGCATGACCCCTGTGCCCCACGCTCCCTCTGCACTCAATCTCACCCCCGGTGACTTTTTTGTTTCCCTGGATTTAAAAAAAAAAAAGCCCTCAAAGGGAAACATTTTGCCAATGTGGAAAAGATGAAACAAAAAAGAGCAGAAGCACTAAAAGACATCAAAATCAACGAGTTCAAAAACTGTTTTGAGCAGTGGAAAAAACATCTTGATAGGTGTATTGCATCAAATGAAGAGTACTTTGAAGGTGACTGAAGTTTAAACATGTAAGAATAAATACACAATTTTTTATAAATAAATTCTGGATTTTGGAGGGTCCCTCCTCATATATCTGAAAAATCCAAAATAATAATTTGAAAGAATGTATGTACCGCTATATTATTGCAGCATTATTTACAGTAGCCAAGATATGGAAGCAACCCAAATATCTATCAATAGATGAGTGGATAAAAAGCTGTGGCACATATATACAGTAGAATATTACACAGCCATAAAGAAAATCAATGGAATCTTATCATTTGCAACAGCATGGATGGACCTAGATGGTATTAACTAAGTGAAATGAGCCAGACAGAAAATGACAAATACCATTTGATTTCACTTACATGTATAATCTAAAGAATAATATATATGAACACACAAAACAGAAACAGACTAATAGATGCAGAGAACAGACTGATGGTTGCCAGAGGGGAGGAGGTCTGGGGGACATGGTGAAAAAGATAAAGGGATAGAGAAGTACTATTACCATTTGAAATGTTTCTCAAAAAATACCTGCAAATGGCTTAAAAATAGTACAGATATCTTAATACCAAAAATCAGTATTTCTTTTCCAGTCTCTTCCTACTCATCTCTCCCTTTAATCCTCTTTCCAGTTTCTAATAATTGTATCACTATATTAGTTTCTTTATTATTACTTTCACAATTTTATATACTTAAAATATTTTTTCCTATTCCACCTAATATAGATTTTCTATCCTAATTTCCCAATATATAATTAGGCAACTGGTTCTCTAAAATACCTAATAAATAAAAGTACTGGTTATTTAACATATAGAATCTTGGTAAATGCTAACTTTGTTTAGCAAGCAGTTGCATCCTAATTTTATTATAAGCAAAATTTTATTGTGCACCTGTTGTTTTGAAGCCTCCATACAAAAGTATATACAACTATTTTTTTTTCTGCTGGAGGCCACTAGTGGTAAGTAAAGCTGAAATAAGAACTTTTTTAGCTTTTATTTCAGATTTTTATTTAAGAAGAGAAAATACACAATTACAGTATAATTCTGTGTCCTTAAATTCAGAAATAGAGAGAGAATAAAAATATTTTTAAATTCAATTATATAAAAATATTTAAGGGAAAAGAGAAAGTGAAAAATGATGCTGGACATATATGCAAGGGGAAAATCAGTAACAGAAAGAGGAGGGAGCAAAAATTGACATATGCCTTCTTGGTAGAATGATGTAATCATAGAAAGTGCAAGAGAGGAAAATGGCCACACAGACTTAAAGATAAATATACAGCAACATGAAGAAAGATTTCATGGTGACTCTTTATAAAGTTCACTTTAAATAGCCTTGGGAAAACAAATAACTGTTTCCTAATTAAGCTTATTTGAAAACACCAAATTTAATATATTGGATTTATTAAAAAATAGGTAAAATTATGTTAGTGATTTGGGATAAATAAAAAATGTGAAGTCATCACTTTCAAAAAATCCTTGAAAGTTAATTCCCATGACAAAATAAGTTATTTAGAGGCAGTTAGAAAATACATATCTGAAAGCATATATTAAAAGCATAGAAAGTAAGTGATTACAGAGATAAACACTTTCAGTGATAATATTTTTACATTTGCTCTGAAGTTTTCTGTATTCAGTTTACTTAGAAGAAATACTTTAAAGCCATATCATTTGTATGTTTTTTTTTTCAAGAAGGATAAAAATAAAATGTCACCACTAAATAATCATGGATATATTGAACAATGAAGGATTTTTCGTGGTATTCTAATGGAAATCACACAAATCCAGTGCAACTGATGCTTGGTAGTAGTTCTTAATATAATTAAACAGGTACAGTAGATCCAGGATTTGTTTTGAGTGCTCATATTAGAACTGTTGGATTTGTACTAATCTGTCTTTAGCATATTTCTGGTTCCTTCTTGACTGTTCTCAGTGTTTGTAATATGTCTAACCAGGTAGAGAGATGAAATCCATAGTTGCAGAACAGTTGTATATATTGCTGTTCTGTGTAAGAATTAAATCTAAAACTTTGATCTGATTACAAAGAGTCTAAACCCATAGTTTTTCTTACTCCTATGTAACCAAACCCTAGGATTCCATGAAATTGTGAGTGAAATAGACTGAATTTTTCAATCTGATTTTTTTCATAATCTATTTATATGAGACTAATCTCTCCAAATCTAATTCCTTTCTCCTGTTCAATCTCCTAATTACTTTTTTGTACTAACCACGTTATTTTTGCTATCTTAGCTACCCATTGTAGTCTATCAGAAAGTGAATAAATGTGTGTTGCCACCTATAGGCAGAAAATGAATTACAATTGTTTGTGACAGAAATGCGTAATCTAAAGAGAGAGTCCTTTTTTCCAACTCTTACACCTACCATTTTCAAACTTATTACATATTTATTGTTACTGATATTGCCATTTAAGATGCCTGTACCTTAAAGCATTTGCTTAAACTTTTATCATTTTGTCATACTATTTGCTTTTTATATACCATTTAAATATAACACCTTATTAAAGTTTTGTGACTTCAAAAAGTTTTAAGAGACCTGTTTAAACCAGATAACTTACTCATGTACCAAACTAACTGTTGTATCTTAATTCTCTTCTGTAGTGGGGAAAATTACCAATATTTGTTCCCAGGAATGAAAGCTTCCCCTCCTACCATCTATTATCATTAGTCTTTGGTTTTGTGCCTGCTCTGTAATGATATAGGTTTGTTTCTCCTTTATTCTTTGCAGAGTGCTGCAGCAGCTCCCAGTCCAGTGCTAGGAAACATTCCCCCAGGAGATGGCATGCCAGTAGGTCCTGTACCACCAGGGTTCTTTCAGGTACTCAGAGAAACTCTGACTAGGAATGTTAAGGCCTAGGAACTCCTATTTGGTTTTTATCTAAAGATATGAAGGAGAATGAGGCTATTTTTATTCGTAAGGTAAACATAATGCTGTGCGGCCAACTCTTGATTATTCAAAGACTGGTTATTGTATAGATTAGCCCTTCCTTCCTGTATTATTGTCAAATTTTTATTCATTTATTATTTTGCCATTTCATTGTTTAAGAAGAAAGAAAAGAATTGGAATGCAAATTAGCCCATTAAGTTAATTGTGGTAAAGATTTGGTGGGAGAAAAGGCTAAAGATGAGGTTCTGAAATGACATAGAGATTTTAAATATCTAAGCTATCCATACCTCCAGAGACTAAAGATAATCAAGATTTGGCTGTACTTTAAAAATATGGCAAAGTCATAACCTATTTAGTTATCAAGATTATAGGCTATATCAAAATATTTGAGAATCATCTTTATGGCTTTTAAGCTGGAATTTTATTAATATCATTACATCACATTTTAAAATCAGATTTTAATATATGTATGTTAGAATTTTAAAATTTCAACAAGACCATTTACTTTAGCAATGATAATGATTTTAGAATTACAGTATATCCCTTTTTAATTTTATGCCATCCACGTCTTAACTCTGACAGTTTTCTAACCCAAACCAACAAAAACTCTGAAGGTTTGGGTTTTTTTAAATACACACTTAATTTTATAACACCCTTTGCAAAAATTAGGAAGAATTTAGGAATTAAAAACTAGAGTTGGAAGGCATTACAGGAATCAATATAATAGTAATAATAACTAACACAATAACTGCTTATTCTATGCCATGCTTTGTTCTAAATGTTTTACATGTATAAACTCTTAATTCTTACAGTAGCCCTAGGTGTGAAGTGTGCATTATTATCATTTCCACTGCACAGTTGGAAAAGCCTAGACATGATAGATAAGTGGTTTGTACAAAGTCAGAAAGGAACAGGGCTGGGACCCACATCAAGGCTCTCTGGTCTTGTGTCATTAAATTTAACTTTTAAAGTTCATAGTTGATCATTACTCATAAAACATTTCTAGCTCATTTTACTTTTCCTCATCCTTTTATTTCTCTTGCCAAGGATACATTGGAATTAGGAAGTAAATCAGAAGGGTTTACTTGTAAGAGTTAGTAGAAGCAACCTCTCTCTGTGGCACTTTTTTTAAAAAAGGAGATAGTTTAGGTAGGAAGCCAAATTCTTTCTAGGGTTAAACAAAGTGTATAAACCAATACAGTTTTAGTTTTACATTTTATATAATGAACTATTCTTCCCTTACCTGCCTTCTGCCTTAGTCTTGATAATAGTAGTTGAAACAGAGTTAAATTTGTTCTATTATTTCAGTGTGATAAATAGTTGAGTACTACTAGATGCCAGGCACTGTAGTAAACATCGGAAAACGAGTATATATTTTATGTATCTTCCTGAAGTTCATTATCTAGCCAGTGAGGTATCATTAAAAAGAAGTAACTGTAGTACCGCAAGATAAGTGCTGAAACAGAGTAAAATGTAAAGTTCTGTAATGACCTAGAAGAGAGCTATTACGTCTTCCTCAATTGGAGCTAAGGGTGGTTTGGGAAAAGTTCTTCAGGGAAACCAGCAAAAGAATGCTATTCCAGAAAGAGGGAACGGTATAAGCAAAAGTTTGGAGGCATTAGAATTACCCTGTGCAGAAGTGTTCAGAGTAATGCAAACAGAAAGTAGAGGAAGGGTAGGCAGGAGTTCTTAGACATGAAGCTGAGAAGGTTATCATCTAGCATATTGAGAAGGGCCTTTTAAGCCAGGTTAAGAACCTGAGTCTCTTTTCAGTAGACATGTAAGAACTGTCAGAGATCTTTAAGAAGGCCAGTGACCTGAATTCAATCTATAGAGTGGATTCAGGCTTTGTTAGGCACCTATGATACAATTAAATATAAAGTCCCTGCCCTCAAAAAACTCATGATATGGTTAATGAGAGAGAGAGAGAGAAGGCAATTAGAGTATAGAATGAAAATGGCTATATTAAATGAGTAGAGTGTGTTCTTAGAGCAAATCAGAAGGCTACCAGACCCAATCTTGGGAGGGGCATTTCAGGGAAATAGTAAATGAAATCCAAACTGGCATCTAAAGGTGAGTTTGGCAAAGGAGTTAGGGAGAGAAGGAAAGAATATTACAAAAAGAGGGGGAAAATTTCAAAGACCCAGAATGGAAAGCAGAGGGACCATGTATAAAACTGTTGCTTAATTAATTAAAGGGTCAGTGGCTCGTGATGAGTATACAGAACTTTAAGGAGCCTATAGATTAGTTAAGCATTTGTACCTTGATCTTAAGGGTAGTAGTAAGCTACTGAAGGATTGTAAGCAGGAGGGAGGCGTGTTCATATTTACCTTTTTAGAAAAATCACTGCAGTTGCAGTGTGCAGCCAGGATTGCAGAAGGACAAGCCGGAAGGCAGGGAGGCCATTTAGGAGGCTGTTGCAGTAATAAGGGGACATTTAATGCTGGCTTGAAGTAAGGCAGTGGCAGTGGGTATGGAAAAAGATGAACGGATTTGAGTGACAAATAAATACGAGGATTATGAGTAAAAGAGTACAAAAATAATACGCTGGTTTCTGGCTCTTACCTGGACAGATGGAGGTTTCGTTATCTGAGACAGGGACCACAGATGCTGAGGAGGACTGAAGTTGGTTCTGTGGGACCGCCCAGAGATATCCTTTAAGCCAATGAACTTATAGGTTTAAAGCCTAAAACAATGATCTAGGCTTAAGATAAAAGTGGAAGGATTATCATCATATTAAGGGCACTTGAATCAACATAGGAAGATTAATTGTCCAGAGAGAAAGTGACAGAATGAGAGAGTAAGAGGATAACAGAACTGCAAAAATAATAACACCTAAAAGACAGACAAAGGCAGCAGCATCCATTAAAGAGATGGGGGGCAGAGGTATTGGTTGGTTGGCTATTACAGAAGCCCACGGAAGAGAGTTTGTGGACATATTCCAAGCAGTGGCAGTGGGATTGGAAAGGAAGAAGCAATCGTAGTTATGTTTGGTAACCCTCAGTTGATTAACTGAATGAGGTGTAGAAGAGAAAGAGCTGGAGGAATCAAGAGTGAGTCTGAGGTTCCTACTTTGAGCCTCTGGAAAATTTTAATGTCTTTACCTGACTTAGGAAAGAGGGGAGGTAGAAAAAGTTTCAGATATATTTGGGTTTGAAACATGTCGTTCTTCTATCCAGGGATACCATTCCAGCTAATCCCAAATACTCTTTTCCCCTATTCAGCTGGCTGAAATATGACCAGTCTCCCTAGAAATGCCTCTCTGAAATATTGAAAAACTCAAGCTATCAAACTTTTTAAAAAGAAATAACATGTTATTATTTTTTGGTACATATGGGATCAGACAGGTCAAGTATTTCCTAAATATCAGCATTTGTTTTCTACTATGATTGGGCCACACGTCAGCATGATTCTGGCCATAACCATTGTTAATGAAGAGTAACTGCTTTCTGTGAGTAGAAATAGCAACAGACAATCATAATTCAAGTTTTAACACCAGTTTCTAATCCAGTTCCAAAGAGATATTGAGGTCCAAGAATTATCTAGAGTATGAGAATAGTTTCGAATCCCCTTTTTTAGTGAAGAAGTGCAAAGCTTATTTGGGGGACAGTTGTAATGGGACTAGAGCAGGAAAGGACTAAGCCTATTAGAGTTTAATGAATAAATGAAACTAAAGAAAGAAGAATTTGTAACTAGAACATAGAACACTGGCTTCAGTAGTTCTGAGCTTCACTGACTATGTGATCATATTATAAAAAATATATTCAAATAGTTCTCCTAAACAGACAAACATAATCCTTTTATTCCTGTTTACATTCCAGAACAAGTCCCTTTTTTTCCATTCTGATATTAGACTTAAATACACTACCAAGTGGAATTATCACAAACTAAATGTCTGATCTCATAACAACTGCATTTGAATAACAGCAATTAACTTAAACTCTAGAATGAGTAATTATGATTAATACCTCATACATTTAACAAGTCCATCCTGGAAGGAAGTCTTTAGTAGTGTCTTTCTATTTTTGACAGATATTAACATTGTTCATACTTACACTTTGACATTTTTATTAAAATGGGAGAGCTTCTGTTGTTGACTAGGAAACCAATTAAGTAAAATCAATAGGAATAGTTGGACATGCAAAAGGAGGTATCAATTTAGTAAAATAAAGCCATTTAAAATAAGTTACATATACTTATTTACCTGGAGTCTTTCATTAAATGAATAATTTGTATACAAAACCCTATAAATTCTCAAAGTGACCTACCATGGGACTGGTGAATGATTTTAGAGCAGCTCTCTTAAATTGGGAAGTCTTGCCACTGGGAAGGCTTTCTTCAATTTCTAGTAAGCTTCAAACCTGAATGTTCCATAGCCTGTACTTTGATTTAGCAGTTTTAGTGGAAGAAAATACAGTAGTGGTGGTGGTGGTGGTGGTGGTGGTAGCAGAGGTAGTAGTAGTAGTAGTATTGTGGTGTGATATGAACGCACATAGTGGCCTCAGTACACTCAGAACTGAGTCTGTACTCTGACTCCTCTCCCTGTGCTAGAGTCTTAGTCAGAAGTTTCACTATACTAAGAAATTTGAATTATTCTTCTATGTATTCTCATAGCATTCTTACTAAAAGATAGGCAAAGTTTGATTCCTGTAATTTTATTGACTAGACAGCAGTGTTCCTTGAACCAATTAAATTTTCTTCTCACTGATGTATAATAATCAAAATAGTATAGTAAAGTGCATAAAACAAAGTTCTCATTCTTTTATGTTTTAAAAGAATTAAGACTATTAACTCTCTTACCTCATCAAGTTCTATAATTTTATAGATCTGAGTAACAAGGAAACTTCTCTTGTGAACGTGCTATAACTTGTACAACATTAAAAAAAATGAACGTTTTTTATTTCTGTCAAAAACAATTGGCAGAAAGGGGT